GTGACAGTTTGGGGTGTGACAGGATCCCTGATTTGGGGACACCCTGCTCTGGGGTTGCTGTGACAGTTTGGGGTGTGACAGGGTCCCTGATTTGGGGACACCCTGCTGTGGGGTTGCTGTGACAGTTTGGGGTGTGACAGGGTCCCCGATTTGGGGACACCCTGCTCTGGGGTTGCTGTGACAGTTTGGGGTGTGACAGGATCCCCAATTTGGGGACACCCTGCTGTGGGGTTGCTGTGACAGTTTGGGGTGTGACAGGATCCCCAATTTGGGGACACCCTGCTCTGGGGTTGCTGTGCCAGTCTGGGGTGTGACAAGGTCCCCATTTGGGGACACCCTGCTCTGGGGTTGCTGTGACAGTTTGGGGTGTGACAGGGTCCCCAATTTGGGGACACCCTGCTGTGGGGTTGCTGTGCCAGTCTGGGGTGTGACAGGATCCCCAATTTGGGGACACCCTGCTGTGGGGTTGCTGTGACAGTCTGGGGTGTGACAGGATCCCTGATTTGGGGACACCCTGCTGTGGGGTTGCTGTGCCAGTTTGGGGTGTGACAAGGTCCCTGATGTGGGGACACCCTGCTCTGGGGTTGCCATGGCACTGTGGGATGTCCCAAAGCCCCCAGTTTGGGGATGTTCTGCTCTGGGGGTGCTCTGACAGGGGGGGGGGGGGGGGGGTGTCACAAAATCCCGAATTTTGGGATGTCCTGGTGATTTTGGTGGTGATGGGAGAACCTTTTATGGTTATTTTGGTTTAGGATGGCCCCAAATCAGGGTGTGGGGTTTGGGATGGCCCCAAATCAGGGTGTGGGGTTTGGGATGGCCCCAAATCAGGGTGTGGGGTTTGGGAAGGCCCCAAATCAGGGTGTGGGGTTTGGGATGGCCCCAAATGAGGGTGTTGGGTTTGGGATGGCCCCAAATCAGGGTGTGGGGTTTGGGAAGGCCCCAAATCAGGGTGTTGGGTTTGGGACGAGCTGAATTAGGGTGTTGGGTTTGGGATGGCCCCAAATCAGAGTGTTGGGTTTGGGATGGCCCCAAATCAGAGTATGGGGTTTGGGATGGAGCTGAATTAGGGTGTGGGGTTTGGGATGGAGCTGAATCAGGGTGTTGGGTTTGGGATGGCCCCAAATCAGGGTGTTGGGTTTGGGAAGGCCCCAAATCAGGGTGTGGGGTTTGGGATGGCCCCAAATCCGAGCAGGGGGTTTGGGACGGAGCTGAATCAGAGCATCACGTTTGGGACAGAGCTGGGAAATGGCCCCGAACTGGGGTGTGGGGTTGGGAATGTTTGGTTGAGCCAGTGTGGGCTCAGAAAACCACCCAGAAACGGGTCCTTGAAGCTTCGTGCC